TTCTGAGCTCTTGTGGTTTTTTTGTGAAAATTTAAATATCATCGAAAATGAAAAGTTTAAAAATGCAGTTGTAGAATTCTACAATTCCGAAGAAATATCTACTGCCAAAAAATTGTTACTTAATGAATTGGATATCATAAAAAAAGATAAAAAAGAAAAATTATCACTCAAACAAGGTGGAAATAAAAAAGTTGACAAGGTAGTCGAGTTAGTTGAAATATTTAAATATATTATTTCAAATGATTTACAACAAAATTTGCCGACTTTTGTTATCTTGAATCCAGGCAGAGTTTCTCGAGAAGGATTAGATATTTTAGATATTATTCAAATAAATAATGACAAAATGGTAGAAAAATTGAATGAATTAACGGAAATGAATAAATTGCTGCTGTCAATGCACAACGTGCGTATAAGTAACGAACAGGTGTCTGTACGCGACCGCATTAATAAATATAGCTTAGATAGTACAAACTTGATTAATAAATATCCAGTTAGTAATTTGCATGAACCTGAATTAGAAATAGCTAAAATCAATTCCGTAAACAATAACAATATACCTTGGTCAGACGCTGTACAAACACCAAGCGACATGTTACAAACCTATTCAATGGTCGTGAACAGAAACAAGAATAGAACCAAACTCAGTACAAGTTCTGTTGAAAAAAATATAAACGTTGTAAACACAGTTAAAAATCCATCAAATGAGAACATCAACAAAATGGAACAATCAAAAAAACCTGCAAAGAGGATTATCGGCACCAAAATTATGGAACATGTAAAATTACAACCTGATAAAATAATCATGAAAAAAAAAGTTTTTTGCCTAAGCAATGTAAAGAAATGCCACAGAGATGATGTTGTGGAGTTCTTGCAGACAAGTGGTATAAACGTGATTACATGTTTCCCAGTTATAAAGCGAACTGACGAAACTGACCCCAAAGCAATTAACAACGACGAACATTCAACCATGTTCAGAGTTTGCGTTGAAAAGAAAGATGAAGGTAAAATGAAAGACCCGGAAGTAATGCTGCAGCATATCATCGTGAGAGAATGGAAATTCAATGAAAAAAAGTTAGATTTTAAAAATGGCTAATTTAATTGTAGATGATGATTTTTTTGTTAATAAGTGCAAAACATTTTACAACTCTGCTGAAATAAATAATGATTATGAATTATTTAATGATAATCATTCGACAACAAATACAACATTTAATTTAATGCATATAAATATAAGAAGCTTAGTAAATAAATCAACAGAATTAAAGGATTATTTAACAAGTTTTGATTTCAAATTTGATGTCATAGCCATTACCGAAACGTGGCTAAACAAAGTGAATGAAGATTCGATTGGGATTAATGGGTTCAATTTTGTTGGCAAAAATCGTTCCGGTAGACACGGGGGTGGAGTCGGCCTCTTTGTAAAAGATGATATTATATTTAAGATAAGAAATGATTTGATGATTTCAAATGAACTAGAGTTATTTGCAATTGAAGTGGGAATCTCGTCTAAAAACAACTCATTAATTATTGTTACGTATCGACCACCACATTACAGCCAAAAAGTTTATATGAAGCAACTTGAACAAGTTTTGCTAGCCATAAATAATGAGAAAAAACTAGTTTATTTAACCGGAGACCTGAATATAGATCTTTTGGAAAATTACGAATCTTACAGTAGTCAACTCCAAAATTTACTGACATCTTATAATCTAAAAGCATTAATAAATAAACCAACAAGAATAAACATACAAAAAAACTCTCTGATTGACAATATTTTTACCAATGCATCGGAGAACGTAACAGTTTGTGGAGTGCATTTGACAGACATTTCGGATCACTTACCCATATTTGCATGTTTCAAGCAACAATTAGTGAAAATAGAATTTGAAAACCGAGAAAA